TTTTGTAAAGCGTGTCTCGGCGCATATAAGGCCTATACATTGCATTTTTCGTATCGCGTGTATATAAGCGAAAAATGCGCGCATCGTGATACACGCATCGTATACACAGATGGATTTAATGTATAATACGCGTATGGCGGATCGCGTCAAGATAGACAAAAAAAGCACGTTATAAACAAGGAATAAAACATCCAGATGATGCTGATTTATCGGGAGAGAAAAGTTGTTGACTCCTGCTGCCGATAAGATGTTTGTACGTGGAATTTCCGATTGAAAACGAAGAAAGCTCGCCGCGATCGCACATTTAAGCCTATACACTATAGGAGGCCTAGTTAAACGTATAAATACCAGAGTTGTAGTAGTACAACAAAAAAAAGAGCTGCCGACGATACCATTTGGCATCGAGTCTCGCGTAGCACAAAATATGCAGAAAGGGTTTAGCGAGCAGAAAGAGAGAATATAACGTATAAAAGAGGACAGTGCAACGTAGAGTGAGAGAGAGAGAATAAAAGAGAGAGAGAGCGAAGAATCGTCGTGAGTCGAGCATCTGACGGACTATACAAAAGAAGCGGCGAGTGCACGCCGTGTGTGTGCGACAATGAATATCATTCTCGTTTCGGGATGCGGCTATCCACCTACGAAAAAGAAAATAAAAAAAAAATAAATGTATAAGAGAATGAAAGAAAGAAAAGAAGAACGAGAACGAGTGCGTTATACACGCGCGAATAGACGCGCGCGTTATAAAGAGACGCAGAGAGATAGACATACGTACACACTGAAAGAGGGAGAGAGAGAGAGAGAGAATCAAAGTGAAAGCGTCGACTCTGCATATAATCACTCTAATGTTTTCATTTTAAGCCTGGCATAAGCTTTATGATGTGCAAATGCACCTTGCATTTAACAGCACGCGCGCGCGCGTAAGGCCCTCTAAGCTGTTTTCTGTTGTGTTCGTCTCTTTTTGTAATGGCACACGGACAGCTGTGAGTTTGTGATGGCGAACGCGATGAAAGAAGCAATGATTTTTAACTCTCGTTTTCCTTTTATCATTGTTGTTTTGTCTAGCTCTCGCAGCTGAGCATCGAATACAATAAAACGTTGATTCGCAAAACTTGGTTGGTTTCGCTCTTTTAACGTATCATCCTCTATCTTTATCTCGTTTTCGTATTCGCTGCTTTAAAAACATATACGTGTGTGTGCGTGTATCAGCCAAGAAAACTACTTCAATCCCAATAAATCAATCTGTGCATCCTCGAGTGGGTCTTTTTCTTCGTCGCTCGGCATCACGTACACACACACAATCGCGCGCGCTTGCGGAGCAAAAAACTCCATACACCCTTCTTTTAAAAAAGAGAGCCATACGTAGTCGTTTATATGTATACGCGTGTATGTATACATGGGTATCCTACACACAGACGACGACCACTACGGAGAAGAGAGAAAAATCTTATCGTGTATAGCGATCGGTGCCTTCTATGCATATGTATAAAATCTTTCAGCTCTTTGTTGTAAACACACGCACAAACACACATTTATGTGGGTATATGTGTACGACGAATACATCTCGAGGTTTTGCTGAATGTATTTATACGTATATCGTGTGTAGGGTCATTGCGCGCTATACGCGGCGTCTGAATAAACCCAATTATCCGTAGCCACTCTCGCCGCCACACAGAAGCACTGATGTATACACATCGTATTTAAATGCACACTTAGCGAATCATTAGCGAATCCCGAAAGATTCTATAAGGAGTGTAATAAGTGAAGCAGAAGGAAAAGAAAAATTGAGCCGCCACTACCGCCTCCATCAAAGGGGACGGACTGTAATGCACTACGAAGGCGCTAACGAGAGTTGACTCCCTTGTTCTTTAACTCGTATAAAGCTCAATTTTCTATGCGCGAAGTGTATGACATTACGAAAATGAAAAAAAAAGAATAGGGCATAGAGAGGAACGATTCGCGCGTACGCAAGTAGCCAAAAGTACTCCTCGGACGACACCCTCGCAGCAGCAGCGGCAGCAAACTTATATTACACACAGACTCATACAGAGAGCGAGTTTTTTTATCTGTCGTCGACGTGCGCGTATGCACTGTTTCTCGCTCTCTCTCTCTCTCGTTCCTCTTTGGCTCTTCCTCGCTGCTTCAATCCTACTATGTATAAAATGTGCGAGTCTCGAAACTTTATCGTCGTCGTTTGAATTGGTAATGCCATGGCGTCTTCGTCAGCGAAGAGTATATAATTTTTTGCCCTGAAACACACTCTCTTGGATTTTCGAGAGTAAAGGACCGAAGCTGTCTTTTCTCTCGTTTATTTTTTTCTGTTCTTGTTCACGATATCTCTTTCTCGCTCCCAATTCTAAGTACACACGCCCGCGGAGCTGCGCATCGAAAAATTCGTCATAACGAATCGATGCCACCGCGACGACGAAAAAACACACACTCGTGGAATGTGTATGAGTATACATAACAACACTGCAGCAGGTTCGAGTAAGCGTGTACTTTTAAACGCGTGAACAGAAGCCCACTACCATGAGTAGTAGTACATTATATATAGTACAGTTTCTCACGCTTCGAGTGTTACATACACGCGCGCATAGTAAAAATAAAATAAAATAGAATACACTGCTGCTCGTGCGCGCTCTCCTTCGTTCGTCTCTTCTCTCGCAGGAGGTGTAGCGAGTGTAAGAAGCAGCAAATGCGAGTATGTGAGGAGGAGCTATTATCTTATGTGCGTGAAAAACGAAGCGCGGGAGTTCAATAACCCATTAGGCGACGCGAGTAAACGGACGTACGAAACGGGGCACCGTTGTTGGCCTGTGGTACATTATGTACTCTCGGACTCATTTTGGCACACATATAAAGTACAAGCTCCTAATATCGCGCGAAACGCCCGGAACGGACGTCGCGTTGTCGCCGTCTTCGTCTTCGTATTATATTCTGGCGACTTATAAGTAACAGTCGCTCTCTCGATAATCGCGCGCTTGATCCGTGGCGAAGAAGAGTCGCGACGCAGAGAAAAAAAAAGCGATAATTACTCGGAAACGAGCGAGAGAGCGAGTTTGTGTCACGTACGCCTCGTGTAAAAAAAAAGAGGAAAAAAAGAGTCGCGCGATTCGGAGCTCTCTAACGCTACTGTTATTCGATTGTACACAGTAAACCGCGAGAAGCGCAAAAATCGCGTTCGAATTATATTGTACATATCCGCGAACTCGTACAGTGTAATGTTATTATATGTCATCATCGACCCAAAGTGCGATAAACGCGAATACGCGAATTCGCCGGAGAAAGAGCGAAACACGAAAGAGAGTCCCCCGAGAGAGGCGCAATGACTGATAGCGATTATCGCTTATCTTGCGCTTAATTAGACGCATACGTATATATTGTACACATAATATATATCGCACTGCTCACACACATGACAAGTCTTGCGTATCGTATAAGACATCGTGGTATGCGCACCCGCGAATTTTGTTTATAAATAATAAAGCCGGGCGCGATAATTCGGCGATTCTCCTCCTCTGCTTTTTTTTTACTCTCGACCAATTTCATGATTTTTTTTTCGCTGCGCGAGATTTCGTCGGGATTTAGTAACGTTGCTAATTTATATGTATACGTACGTAACTGCACGTAGGCACACACACACTGCACAATGTGGTTTACATTATATACATCCATGAATGAGAAAAAGCCGCGACTGCTGTGTTTATATGAAAAAGTTGGTGTAATATTATATTATGTATATAGACTCTCCTTCGTCCAGCTGCACGTCGATCGCGGGAATCATAATACAGCACGACAGCGAAGTAGTATAGAGGGAAAAAAGCGAGATGAGATCGTGGCATCTGTGTTTACTGCTCTTATATGCGCGGATATAATATAATAATAATATTATAATATTGAAGCTATAAAAGACTCCTTAGGATTTTCTGTATGGTGTACGCTTCCTTGAGCTCGTTGTGAAAGATGATTTTTCAAAAAAATTACGTTATTACGTGTGTTAAATTTTTAGAGAAAAGAAATAAGCGTAATAGTCATTGTCAGTCGTGTGCGAAGATTTCGATCGGTTTATACTACATTTCCTATATAGACAATCGATGCTTTCAACTGCTCGTCGTCGTATTATTATCTCTCGAGACTCTTCTCTCTTTCTCTCTCTCTCTCTCACGCGAGGCGCATAATTTATGTATTATTTAATATTCACGAGGTTTCGATCGCGCGTCGGAGCGAGCTTACACATTATAATAGTGTATACTCTCTCAGTGTGCCGATCTATACACATTTTGCTACTTGAAACTCGATTAATTTATTATCTTTGATGGCTCGATAATCGCTCGCGGGAACATTTATTTATTACTACGGACAACGATGTAATTTGACTCCCCCCGAAAAGAGCAGAGATGTGTGCAGAAAAGTATAATCAAAAGAAGAGAGCACACACTACACAGCGCGTCTATATTACGGATGCGCACAAGGTGTGCACAGCACGATACGTATACAGTCGCGTTGGGATCGCGCGACAAAGGATGTGCATCGTTCGCGGCTTTGGCTCTCCCCGAGTGCATAATATTTTTTATGCTGTGTATAAAAGAAGACCTCGAGAGAGAACGATGATAATGACTCGCGAGAGAGAGAGAGAGAAAGAAATGACGACTGCAATGCGCTATGGCACAAATCGTACACAACTGTAATACAGGCAAACAAACACTCGCACGCAAAAACTCATTATGTATCACCCGATGTTTCGTGCGGTTATAGGTAAGGCGCGCATGATATAATGGTCGATTTCCAGGGTCTTCCTAATTTTCGGACTGCATATACAACAGCCGCAAGTGTGCAGTACTTTGCTCTGTGCGTGCAGCAGCGTGCGCATGGATATCCGTCCGAGACAGAGAGTAATATACAAAAAAGTACGAGAAGGAAGAAAAAAAAGTAGCAGCGAGCCTCGAGCAGTCGTCGCTTCTTATTTCTTTCTTTCTTTTTTATTCTTTCTTTTTCAAACGAACCTGTCAGAACTTCCGGAGCAATCGTCGCGCTCGGACTTTTTCTTCGCTGCTGCTGCTACTCCAACTGGCGATGCCACGACGGGGCTGCTGCTGCCGCTTCGACTGTTGCTGTCGGTTTCCGAGCGAGGAGGTGTAGCGGGCTTGCTGCCGAAGCCGCTATCGTCGTCGTCGTTGTCAACCACCACGTCCTGCTTGGCCTTGTTATTGTTGCCGCTGGCCTTCTTCGGCGTCATGCGCTTGAGATCGTCGGCGATCACTACACTACAATTGAGCTTATCTTTGAGCAACACCAAATCTTTCTTAACATTATTAATTTTGCCACCACTACTGTTAAGCACAGAATTATTGTTGGCAACACCACCGGCACCAGCACTAGCACTACCTGCACTACCTGCACTCGCGATACTCATATTTTTCACCTTATTCTTGATCATCAATTGACGATCGGTGCGCTCGACGAGCACCACGGCACTCGCGATACTCAGTTTAGCGTCGTCCTGGATGCGATTGTGCTGTAGCTGCTGCTGCATCTTAATACCACTACTAAAGTTTTGAGATACAACAATCGACTTGCCAGCCACGACGACGGCAGCGGCGCGAGTCAGATCGTTACTCGGGTTGTTGTTGGCCGCAGATGCAGCGGCAGTTGTATTACACGAAGAAGAGGAAGAAGAAGCAGCAGCAGTGGTCTGCGCACTCGCGTTATTATCGTTATTTAGGCGGAGGGCGACGCTACACGACGACGACGACGAAGACGACGACGACGACAACGAACTGTCTGCCATCTTGCCTGAGCACGCACTGAGAAGTCGCCGCGCCGTAGTCTCTCTCGACGCCGCTGAATTTCGCGCAGACCCCTAATATTATTTCCAATATAGTCGCGTCTGTGTGTGTGTGTGTAAGTCGGCTCTCGTATAGGCCAGCGGCGTCCCCACGCGCGGGACACACGCTTCTCCTGCAATGCACGTATATACACGCAGATTTGCGAATGTATGTCGTGTTTACACTCACACACACAAGATACGGCGACGACGACGACTATACGACGACGAGGCGAGCGAGGGGAAAGTTGAATCGGCGCACGAACCGCAAGAGCGAAAGAGACCGAGAGATTTCAGACTCGCTTGTACGAATGTGTGCGTGCGTATATACACCCTGTGGAGGATTGGCTCAGTGGGAGATGGCACTGCCACACAAACACATGCATAAGAGTTTACTTGCGTACTATGTGTGTGTGTGTGTGTCGAGTGAACAGAACATGGATCGAGCGGCGAGTCTCTCTCCGCGTCGTCGTCGTCGTGTGTTCCCCCACTCTCGTCGCCGTATAATGCCGGTGGACGCTCGCAACAGCAGCAGCAGCTCTCCTCTTGTATACCACGCTATATACAGCGGTGTCGATGGCCCTTGTGCGCCGTGTAGGTATATTACCACACAAACATGCACAGCGCACGCACACACATTTATACCGACTACTCGACTCCGACTTTCTCGACGTGCCGAGAATCGTGTGTGCGAGTGACCGTCCGCCAAACCGCCGTAATCTGTCCGGTCAAGTCACGACGTGCAGCGGTAGCAGCGCGGGCTGGCAGCACATTGCACATCGTATCGATATTACACTGCGCACACACATATGTATAAACACGATTTTCATGCGATCATTTGTGCGAACGTTAATATTCAAATGAGTGGCGAAAATAACGAGTGTATGGAGTCGCGAGCGAGCTCGATTAACGGCTGCGCACGCGTAAATATTAATAAACATTGCCATGCGCTGCGCTGCGGTTCGTGAATATATACGCAGTCGCACATTGCTAATGTAAACAAAGATCGTAAAGAAATCGCAGTAGTATAGTATTATACATACAATTAAATACACTCGTGCGCGCGCCAGAGTGAGTGGCCCATTAATTAAAGATACATTATATCGATGCTACTGTATACTCTTTCATTAAAATAAACGCTCCGTCCGAGCTGTCAACTTGACTTCTTTTTTTCGTTCGCTCTTCAAATCACAAGCACCGACTGCGCGTTGATAATGTCTCTTCGTGTATTATTGACGAATTCTCGAAATGTCCCGAGAGCCCGCTTATTCCGAGAAAGAGGAGGAACGGAGAGAGGGAAAGACTCGGGCCTTTTTTGTATGTATTCGCGAAGTTCGTCGAGGCTCTATACTAAATATAATAATAATATCGCGTAGCTCGTCGAGCAGCAGAAGATAAGGCCTGCATCCGACTACATAATTGACCGACCGATTAGAGACCGTCAACCTCGAGAGCCAAACTATACACGTTGCATTATATATTATACGCACATTCACGCATATGTACTGCATTACTCACGCACACGCATACATGATGTATAGCTGTACATTATATACACATGGTGTGCAGCGAAGGCAGCAGCAGCAGCAGCAGCAGCAGCAGCGATGCCACTAACCTTATATAGGATACACATGTACGACGATACGAATGCACGTATAATTTCAGACGAGCTGACCTCGCGATCCCTGTGGCATCGCGAGCTCCTATACCTATATATATAAAATATTGCAATATAAAAGAGTGTGCATGTGTGAGCAGCATGAAGCTACACACGCATATAGGACAGCTGCTGTGTCCGTCCGTTCGTGTACACGTCCGTGTGTTCGGTAGATTGCACTCTCAGCAGTTCAGCCGGAGCAGCGCTAGGTTTTAACTTTTATGGCTATTCTTGGAAGATCGCGCATGCGCCTGATTTTTCTTTCAGGCCTGACACAGGCCTGAACTAATGTACTCGCGCGATAGGATGTTACAGTAGGCAACGATACCTTGGGTATACGGAGGCGCGATCGCCAGTCATACCATACGTAAAACGCGCGCAGTGCTTTTAGTTGTTATAACGAGAGAGCACAACGGCATGGTAGCGCAGCTGCGCATTTTTTTTCTCGCAATTCCTCGCGAAAAAAAAAAGAAGAGAGAGAGAGAGAGAAACGACTCGAGTCGACGCGATTATAACAATGGGTGCGAACGAATCTGCACGAGGCAGCAGAAAATATATAAAGAATGTATAGAAGCTAAGATCGGTAATCGTCAATATGCGTATAATACGTTACCTGGACTCCAGTTTGGCGATCGATCAAACGAGATGACACTAAGAAAAATCACTGTAATCCACTTTTATCTCCCTCCCCGAGCAAGTCGTGTCGAAAGGAATTCGAAGCTTTGGTCACACAGTATATTATAAAGCAAGCCTAATTGCAACTATTTAACTGCAACCGCCATTATCGCAAACTTGTGCAGTCTATCGTCGAGAGAGAGAGAGAGAGATACACAGACACAGGTATATAACACACTTACACACGCGCGCACACTAACACACAAATCTATACATGTATTTGCGATATATATTGGCGAATCTGTGGGCATGCCACAGGTAAATAATGCACGCGAGCGCGTCTCTCTCGAGGCCACTCGCGGAGACGACTGCCACCACGGCACGAGCGCAGTCTTAAAAGCCTTATGGTTCTGACTCCAATGTGCACTTGTGCACTTTCCCACCATCTTATGTTCCCTCTGTATATAAGTGTACCTGTGTGTGTCTGTGTAAGCTATGTGCACTCTCTCACTCTCTCTCACCGCGAAGGAGCGAGAGAATTTCCGATGCAACCTGCATTCCCATCTCTCCTGTGCTTTTCCTCTCTCTCTCTCTCTCTCTCTCTCTCTCTCGCTCTCTCGGTTACTCGCGCGGTTGCTGAGGCGCGCAGCTCAGTTGACTCTTCGCTGCAGCGACTCTTTTGCACGGATGCAGTTACGAGTACAAGACTTGTATGTATCATGTATATGGGCGATTTTTGGACAATCGGTATTTTTCTCCGTGTGGTGACAGATAAAGTCATTATGACGGATCTTTTCACAAAAATATCGTACTGATATATTCGATTCGCGCGTCAGATAACTTACTCCCTGGTTAGAAATTATCAAAATTGATAATGGCTTGATTTCAAAGAATTGCAAGTGCATCAATAAATTCTGATCAGGTATCGACCTCTTTAAATACGATAGCAAAACTTCAAACTTTCTCCACTAGATGTCGAGGACCTTTATTTCTATAAATCTGCAAGTAGCAAAGTAAATATAATTGTATAAGTCCAAGCACGTTTTTGGTGAACGTCACCTTCTTAATTCTTTGATACTTGATCTCAAATTCTAATGGATCTTTCCCGCCAATGAAAGTTTCTTGTTAGCCAAAAACTAGCCATCAAATATTGAGCATTTCTATCAGGATCTTAAAGCTCGCAAAACGCAATGACGAACCAATTTAACGTATTTTAATTGGGCGCATCATATTGACTTTACAACTATCCCAGCAAAAAGTACATATTCTAATACTTTAATTAACCAGAAAACAACTGTGACTTATTGCTTACTCCGTTTCTAATTTTCGAACTAATTTGAACGACAAAAAACGTCATTTTTCAAAAAATCATCCATATAGTGTAAACACGATCATCCCCAAGGCATGCGACACACGGAGTAAGACATATAATTGACTTTTTTGAGTGCATCTACAAAGCTAATTATTGCTATGTATGCGCTGCTTCAACTTTTCAAGACAGGCGAATGGAAGCAGTTTTCAAGTGGGATACGATTTTTATAAGCATCTCTAAATATTTATATTTTATATAATTTATCAACACTAATTACTTAAATTTCAATGCTCAACTGCGCAACGCCGAGATTTTTTTCTTTCTCTCTCTCTCTCTCTTTTAATTAAATCTTCCTACCTGAACGAGGAAATGCACATTTATAAGCAGCCGACCTGTTGTAATGTACATAATGCGAAGAGTGGGATATATACGGCTAGAGCAGCAGCACGCGCGCAACGTGTGTTTGATAGAGCCCTTCTCTAATTCTTCTCCTTTTTTTTCTTTTACTTTCTCGTTTCTCCGACACATGTGTAGCAACTCTCGTGCTATGTGTACATTGTAAACCCTGACCCTATACGTGTGTGTGTGTGTGTATGTATGTGTCTGTGAGTGTGCGATGGCATAATAATGAATGCGAGATCGCGCGATTACCCTCGTTCTTTTCTCTCTCGCTCACTCACTCGCTCGCCTATATATCGTCTGTATTATGGTCGGCGCGCACAATGAGTTATTATATGCGCGCGATGTGCATATGCCTCGATGTGGTACGCATGTATCCTTATATGCATACGTAGAGGCTCGTTCCCCGGACCGGATCGCGCGCGTAATACGTCCAAATGCGTGTACGTACTGCGTACATTTATATATGCGCGGCGCGCGCGCGAGTATTCCACAACTATTTTATGCCTAGACGAGTGGAAAAAAAGAAGAAGAACTGGAAGTATGCGTAGTCATTGCGGAAATCTAGTCGTCGCCGCATTTTTGCGAGGCGAGTTTATATTATGTTATATACTATACAAGCATTCGCGTTCCAGCAGTTTTAATCTATATCGCGCGTGCACTATATACTTATTACGTGTTTTATTTTTTTATTCGTTCCTCCGACCGACGCATTTTTATGCGTTACACGTTATAATGTATTAAGCGATTTTTGCTCGCGCACGCACACGCTTGACACCTCTGATAACGAGTTTGTACGTATACGCATAAGTGCGCGCGCGTACATACTGACATTGATTTCGTCTCGTCGACGTCTAATTGACGCGAAGATTGATTTTTTAAGCGGAATGCTCACTTGCGCATGAGGTGTATGCAAACAACAGAATAGTCGCTCAAAGAGCTGATTTAATTTTTTTGTAAACGCGATCGCTCGGATCAGATCGACGCGCAGACGAGGGATTATCTTGAAAATTTAAGTGCTACAGTAACTACTTATCTGCGTATTAATTTTCAATTTACGGTATAAACTATATTATTAGTTTCATGAAATAGAGGAATGAATTTGATAAGAATTTATTTGAATTGAATTCGATATTTAATATCTCGATGAGCTTGGTATGGGTGACATCGCATACATTTGCTATAAGTGTAGCAAATTATTCATCGAATCAATACAATTTTCTCTACAATTTTTACATCCAGAGCTATCAAAAAGATTTAAGAGGACATTCCCATTGCAAATTGTAAAAAAAATCACTTTTTAAATATATTTTTTTGAAAACTATAATTTTTATTCATTCCGGACCATTTGGGTATTGTTCCTTACATATTAAACTACAAAAAAAAATTTTTTATGGGACTTAAGACCCATTTAGTTGGCTGTAGACGGAATTTGCTGAAATCCGTGTTTCGGCTCTTGGCAGCGATTGAGAAAAAACTACTGGTCCAATCTTTACGTTTAACGTCTCGTTTTAATCGTTACAATTTTCTCTAGAAGATAAACCTCTAAAAAATTGAAAATTTCAATTTTTACGATTTTGGCACGAGTTTTTCTTTAAAAAATTCTCTTTTCGGTGGTTATGGGGGTGAATTCACCTCTATGAAAAAAATTGGGGATGATTTTTTCAGCTTTTTAAAGGTTTGTTTTCTAGAAAAAGTTGTAACGATCAAAACGAGACGTTAAACGTAAAGATATGACTAGTAGTTTTTTCGCAATCGCTGTCAAGAGCTAAAAGAAAGTAGTTATGAGTAAAACGCGTCCGGAGTTTTGTTCTGTACATATCGAGCACGCTAGACGCTTCGTGTAATCGGGCATAACTTTTTTTCCTTTATGAATTTAGTTCTAAAATTTTAACAGGATATTTTTATGATGTTAAAGAACGTTTTAACGTAAAAAAAATTATTATTTCAATTATTCAAACACACAACCCATGACAGTATAACACTATTATCAATTGCAGCGCGCGGAGAGCGAGAAAATATAGAAGAGAGAATTAAAGGAAAAGTATATGATATTTTGTATAAAATTCATATTTCACATTACGCTACGAATGGCCATAACTTTAACTATACACAAGCACCGGAAGTGAAACTTCTGAGTCCCTTTCCTTGGTTGAATTTTTTTTCTGGAATTTCACTCAACTTTTCTCAATTTTTGACTTTCTTGAACTTAAATTTTTTTTTAATTTTTTCGAGATTTTTCTTGCTTTATATTTTGTTGTTTTCAATAGATTAGTTTCATGGCTGTACATAGACAGTAGGGCGGAGCGAAAAAACAGTTTTGTTTTGTTTTGCACAAGAGTTTATATAAATGTAATTACTATTAAAAAGCGATCGGCGTCATAAGTGTTTTTTAGCTTCATCCTATTGTACATGATTAACAGTGTTACGCTTGTTTTAACATTTTATCGTCTCGTTATGCTTGAAATTTTTTTTCTATTAAATGACCATATTTTGTCTGTATAAAATTCATGCAAACACCACATAAACACTTTCCAATAATTTTTTTTAATTTTAGACATTTGAAATATCAATTATCAAAATAAATGAATTTTGAATTTTGAACTTAATAATATTATGGGTTTATTTATTCACGAAAAATCGCCAACTAAGTCTGATGAAAATTAGTGTGTCTGATGAAAACGGTGCTTTGACTTATACCATTAATTTTATTTTGCCACTTGCAGCTTATAAAGATACAGGTGCTCGCCATCTTGTGGTGAAGGATGAAAGCGAAGGTATTATCGTATTGAAGGTGATTAAAAACTAGTCCAAATTTTTTGGAACAATCGCATTGTCATTTTCATGTCAAAGTTGAATTTTTTTTATCAGGGAAAGGATGAGAATGAACAATATATCGTCGATTGTCCGTTACATTCTATAAATCTAAGAATTAGTTTTTTTGTACAGAAATCATTAATTAAGGAAATATCTCATTTTTCAATGGTGAATATTGAGAGGAATAATGTTTATCTACATCTAATTAATTCGAAGATTCGAGAAAATCTTTCATAATAATTAATGTTAAGGTTACTCTAATAATTATGTTTAAGGTTACTCTATTTTCTGAGCGAGTCAAGTTAAAAAAAATTTTTTCTTTCGCTTGAAGTAAAAGATACCATTTCGAAATTTTGAACATTATATTGTTATACTTCTAAGTGTTCCAAAAAATTCATTTTTAATACGTTTAGGCCTTATTTGAGGCTTATAACATATACAATTCATGTTTATTAAATAATGAGATTGCATGGTGTAAAAATGAACATGTAAATATGCATATAAAACGAAGCTCTTCGCCACTGACACGGATAAAGCAGATAGTGGTGAAACTCAAAATAAATATGTGGACAATACTATAAAGAGGGAGTTTTTGTCATTTTCCCTATTTTTTGTCTATAACTTCCAGACGTCTGCCTCTGGTATACTTTCCTTTCAATGTAAATTTGCCATTATAGCACACAATACACTAGTCCTACTGCGATAAATGCCATACAGCGCCATCTATACAATGAAGATAACTACTGTAATAGTTCACTCCGCAGGTAAAGTATCAACAGCTCTCGATTCAACAGAATGAACTTATGACTTATAACTCACTGAAGACACTGCAGAGATTATGCAAAATAGATAGACAGATTGCAGAAGAATGAAGAGAAAATTTATAAAGAGAACAAGTTTTTTTGCATGCGTGAATTCGATAAAGCTCCAAGCGCCTCATCGTGGTGACAATTTCGTAATGATATTTTCTACTATTTCTGATTCTCTATTACAAATAATATACAAGGGTTCAATTATTAACAGAGTTTATACCATTCTGATATATTCACATGTTTTTATTAAGTTCAAAGATTATAGTATATTGGTACAAAAAACGAACTACCAAGAACACTTTATCTTGTAATTTTTTAAACAATTTCATACGATTTTGATAGAATTTGAAAAAAAGTAGTATATACAAAACAACAATTATTACCTATAATATTGCAATAAAATAAATAATATGACGTTTGTTATATCACTATAAATTTTATGTTTAGTTTTATTACATCAAAAATTGTTTTATACTGTCTAGACGAATGAGAAAGGGATATTACATTTACATATTTACAAGAAGACTACAAGTTTTTTGCACAATCGTAAAACTGAAATTACTTGACCAAAAGTTTTGGATCCTAAGCATAACATTCAATTTGATTCATGAATAACTCATGTCTCAATATTATTTACAGAAAAACTGATAACAATTTCATAAAATTTTATCGCAAAATATGAGCTACAATTACTACGATTATAATAACTTAGAAAATAACACGGCAGAATATTGCACTGGAAAACATTATAAAGGAATATGAATAAGTAACTTTTGCATTTAAATGAAATATTTACAGTTTACATGGATTTTACGACGCAGCACGTTTTGTATGGATAAACGTATTTTCTAAAATGGAAGAACTGATTGAAAATCATGAGTTATATTATACGTGCATGTTACAATTTGACTATCTGGAAAAACGATATTTAGTAACAATCGTCGAATGGCCGAAAAAATGAATCGCGTTACTTATAAAATCTATCAAGGTATACTCTATAATTCCTGCTCAAAGGCATCTCATCGCGTCAATCCAAACGTACCCGCCTCATTCTCAGGAGAACCTTCCCAGCTCCCTCTTGATGGCGGCGATGAGGGGAATCGCGGGATCCTCGGCTCTCAGCTGAGCGTCGGCGGCGAGCACCCGGTCGACCTCGACCTCCGGCACGTTTGGCCGATGGAACGGGCCGGCGCTCAATGGTCTTGAGCCCCAGGCGCCTCGCGGGTGTGGCGCCACTTGCTGGCCCGTCTCCGGGATATCGACGACGGCCACTTGACGATGAGTAGCAGCAGCGGCGGCGGCCCCCGCGCCCGCGTTGCGGTGTTGCTGGTGATGATGGCGGCCGCCTACCGCCCCGACGACGACAGCGTCTCCTCGCCGGGGCAAAGAAGTACGTGGCCGGCTCGAATCTCGACTGCTGCTCGCGACCGCTGCCGCTGTTGCTGCAGCTGCTGGACTGAAACGAAGGTGCGGCGTTTTAGTATGTAAAATATAACTGGAGTTTGGTATTTTCCATATGGAGGCTAGTTAATGTGGAAGTAGAGGAAGTTCTTTTTTTTGTAAATTTGATTCCGATCAAAATAACTTCAATTCTTTTACATGAAAGTAGATTCATAAAATATTTCTTATATCAAACAAACATTAATTGGTTAGGTTTTATTTCAATCGTTCTTTACTTATATAAAACTATATTTACTTTGCCACTTGCAGATTTACAAATATAGGTACTCGCCATCTAGTGGTGAAAGTTGGCTTCAGTTGTGATATTGAATTTTCGTGTATTTTTTGATCAATTTCAATCAAAGTGTTTAATTTGAGTATAAAATTAAATTTTTTTCGTTCATTTTGCTTTAAAATGAATGTTCACGTGACCGAATTTTCCCACAATTTTTGTGTAGTGCGTATAGTAAAAAGTATAAGTACTTATTCGTTAATGTTTAACAAAGATTTCATGTAAAAGAGTATCTTAAAAATAACATTTTATATCGGTTGCTGTAACTTTTTGACTTTTTTGTTTAACAGTAATAGCATGGGTCGGAAACTCACTTTACGTGCGCGGACTTGCCCCGGCTCTCGGTGTACTGTACGGCGTGACAATGCGTACGCGATGATGTCGTGGTTCGCGTCGACTGAGGGACAACTCCTCGTCCCCCGTTGACGATCGCTCGCTGGTGCTGTTGCTGTTGGACGTGCCGAAACTGTTGTGGCCGTTGCTGTGGCTGCTGTTGCTGCTGCCTCGAGTCTCGAGCGCCAAAGATACCGATGGAGTCCTCGATGAATTCGTTGATGCGCCTACGCGTCCGGCCAAGCGTTCCCTCAGGTGGGCGTCGAGCCTCGGACGACAGCGGCGACGATGGCCCGACTGCTGCGTGGTCGCCATTGCCTTGAAGCGATTGTTAATGTCTGATCAACCAAGAGGGTCCGGCTTGCCGCTCGTCGGCGTTCGAGGATACGCTTCAAGAGGGAGCACGTTGGAAGTTGTATACGCGATCGTTACCTCGAAGGTGCTCGCTCTTGAACGGATCGTTAAACTTTGTGCTTTTTTATCCTAGTGAAACGATAAAAGAACATTGTGCAAATATTTGTCAAGGCTCACCGTCCACGGCAGCCCTTCGTTTCTTCAAATCCCAAACGATGGGTCCCAGAACTCCGGGATCTTTCGTCTCACTCTGAGCTCGCGAAAAGTAACCCTCGACGTCGTTCGGCTCGTAATTGCTCGCCCTCCTCTCGGGCGAATGCATCTCGTCCAGATTTTTCGCCTGCTCGCATCGCAAACAAAACAATTAGAAAAGATAACGCGTAATGGAGTTTGACGGAACTTACCAAAACAACTGGCTCGAGGAGTTTCGAAAGTGGCTCGACGCTGCGCATATTCGGAAATTGTTTGCAGGCCGGCATGGACAGATACGAGTGCGGCGATCCAGTGGCCTCGGCAGTCACTGCGGTCGACTCTCCGAAGCCTTTGCCCTCCAACGACTCGAAGCTCTGCACCCGTTCCAGACCGGGAGGAGCACCGATCGAATCGATCGAATCCGTCGCGGAAAAAGGACGCTGCTGCAGCTTCGGGCCTTCTCGCTCTTTCGTCTGACTCGTTTGTCTTTGTATACTGCGAGCGAAAATCAATAAAAGTAAAAATCAACGAATAAAATCGATCAATTGCGAAGCCTCGCAGTTCTCCTACCCCTTCTGTGTAGCCGATCTTTGTTGACGATCTCTCGCCGAGTCCCAGTGCGTGACTCGATGTCCGCCGTCGTCCACGATGTCGTTGCCGTAACTTCTAGTTGCAGTAGCAGCAGCGACGGTAGCAGTCGATGCCGTCCTGAGTCGTTCGATTTCGAGCTCGTTCTCGCTGTAGAGCTCGCGCGCGGCCTCGAGTGTGTCCTGCGAGCCGGGCGTCGCTCGTCTGACGTGTACACTCGTCACTTCCGTCTGCAGCAGCAAGTCGATGTTTGCATATTACATGATAAGAGTACACGACGAGGACAACGACGAGGAAAGAAGGAAGGGCAAATATTGCATTATGTGCATGGGCATAAGTTTGTCTCGAGGAGCGACACGAGCGATTGCAAATATTTCATCGCGAGGAATTTTTATTTCACTCTGTTATCGTCTCCATAGCATCGACAGGATCGATAACTGAGACTTTTTGACTTAGCCATAATCGCGCATGCAACGTCGCGAGTAGTATCTCCATCTTCTATGTTGTAAAATGATATATAATATCACAAGAAACGAATGTTTTATACAATCCTGCGACTGCACTAGTATGCGTGACCGACGTTATTGAAAAATTCATGGTGATTTTTGCTCGCTATGCTATGTACAATGAAAAAAAGTCAACTTGCAACTAAAATAACTTTGCCGCACTTATCCACGAGTCGAGACAAGACAAAAAAAGTTGAACGCGAGTAGCTTTTTAAATCAAAAGTCGTCTGTCTATGGAAGTAATACGGCGTTGTTTGACAAAAAAATTCTATCGTGTCGCATCTACACGCTTCACGATCGTGGTCGGGCTGTATCACGCGAATATCAGAACGACTTCAACACGCCATCGCGTACGATAGAAATGATAATAATAAGTAGGGGTCTATGAGTCCTAAATTTTATGAGTTTTACTAGACTCGACTCAGGAAAATTCGAGTATCCGAAAAATATTTACTTTGAAGCCACTACTCGAAGGGAAATCTGGTATTAGAGATCTCTCGATCGAGTCGAAAATTTTGAATTTATTCAACAGGCATTCAAACGCGTAAGAAGGACGCATCTCTTACCCTGCCGTCGGTCTCCGAGGTGTAGGCGGTATTGTCGATTCCCGACGTCGTGGGCGCGTAAGTCTCCTCGTCCTTGTGCGAGCGCGTCAGTGCCGCTCGGCCGTTGCTGCGGCTGCTGCCGTTGTTGACGGCGCTCTGGGTCCGTTTGCGCTTCGTGTAGATGAACAGGCCCGCGAGGAGCACGGCCAGCAGGAAGAAGGCGGCGCTCGCGGCCCCGATCAGCACCCAGACGTCCCGTTGACGCGACAGGGCCATCGGACGCGACTCCTTTAGAAATGCTGCGCGCGACGATCGTGGTTAAAAAATTGCGCCAAAGATTTTGCATATCGAAATACTCACGTTCGCTGGATATGAGCACCGGAGTGCCGAGCTCGAGGGCGACCTCTTGCGGCGACAGCAGGGCCATGTCCTTGGCCGCTGTCTCGGCCGGCACCGGCTTGCCGCCCAGATGCACCGTGTAGATGAGCTTGGTCGCGCCGCTCTCCAGGCGCGACGTGTTCTGCATGCGCACCTGCACGAGGCCGACGTCGACGGCCGACGAGGAGGAGGCGCGCATCTGCCTCGAGGCCGTCTCGTTGGACATTATGACGACGGGATTCAGGGCCAGTTCCTCGAAATCTCGCGCCTCGATTATGGGAATGGTGCGTTTGCTCTTGCGCATCGGCACCGAGCGCATGTGCAACAGGTGCGAAGTCTTCCACTGGTGATGCGCTACAATCGTCGTCGTAGTCGTCGTAGTGGTCGGCATCGTCGTCGAGTTCGTCTCATTTTCCGAATTTTCGTCACCATTAGACGCCGTCGTAGGCGGTGGTAACTGCAAAAGTCGCCAATGCAAGGACTCAAAATCCGAGCGTACGAAATGTGTGATTGACAACTGAGTGATGTACTTACCGTAGGCAATTCGTCGAAGAAAATGTGACGCTTGGGATTAGCCTTTCTGTTACGACTGTCGGGCAGCAGACCCAAGTGTTTCTGCTGCTGTCTCGTAAAGGCCGCCTTGTACAGTCGAGCGAGCCGCAGCTCGATTTTCGATGGCACGTCCTCGCCTTCCTCCAGTACGGTTAACAGCCAATACCTGCACTCGCGAACGAGATCTCGATCATCGGTCAAATTTACGCGTGCAACACAATATCGAGTTCATATATGTACTCGCCTCTGGCCAGGATCCTCGCTGACGAGAACACCGACATTTTGATCAACCTCGTTGAATATGGTCGGGGTCGGGTCGATGCACGAGGCGCAGTCGATGGGCCTCGTGGCCCCCTGCTGATCGACTCCAGCGCCGGCACCACCACCGACGCTGACTTTCGACGGCTCCTCGGGCACGTAGACGGTCGCCGTGTGGTGGACTGTGTGCGTCTGATACAGCGTCAGGGTGTTCTCCGGATCGAGCCAGGGTGGTGCGTCCTCGGCGCCCGTCCAGAAGAAGTCCTGCAGGTGCACCCGTCGGCCTGGCAAGTGTTCAATAACCACGATCTCGTCCTCTGGAAATGAGACGGAGGAAATTTTGAATTTTTTTTTAGCGAGTTTTGTGAACTTATGCCCCCATTCCTATGATATACATTACGAGGAATTTGAATCTGCGATTTTTTCTTACATAAACATGCGAAAAAACTGATAATCGGAAAAATAAAGTCTTTTTCGCTTTTATGTTGCGAACTTTAGCTAGACAACCGCAAATAACCATGGCGGGTAATAATATAGGGATACTTCTTCAGTGGAACATTTATATACCGGTAATTAAGAATTTCGTTTGTATACATTCGCGTTGCCATCTCGCGGTGATCGACGTAAACACATATCTTATTAGGATACAATCATTTTGTCGTGGAACAGTATACATTTTTATGAATACTCAATAAGATAAAATGAAGATATTTATCATAATAAATAAAAATTTTTTTCAATATTATTTTCTTATGTTTGACGAAACATTCGCATCCCTATTCTAGTATGGCTTGTACGTCATACAGAGTCATTGAGAAAACGAATTTGTGAATGAAAAAAAAGTAACTCGCTCACCGTGTTTTTTTTTTTTTCAAAAAAATTTAGAAAAATTATTTCTGACTTATGCACGTTGTTATATGCACGTTTAGATCAATGACGTGGTGCAACGTGAATCCACAATCTCTCTAGGGCGATTTTAGTTTTACCTTGGTGACTCTATAATTGCGAGATCGATTGGCATTGCCTCTCGATGGGGGGGGGGGGGGGGGG